CCATCCATCTGTTTGTGTGTCCGTCCATCATCATCCATCCATCCATCCATCCATCCATCCATCCATCCATCCATCCATCCATCTTATCTATATATCCATCCATCAGTCTATCCATCCATCAATCTATCCATCAATCATCCATCCATCAATCTATACATCCATCCATCAATCCATCCATCCATCCATCCATCCAGACAATCAAAACAGAACCTTTTGAAACTGGTGATGTCATAGCCACTCCTCTAATTTAACCTTTGACTCGAGGGCATCCTGTCTTTGTTGAGTTTACATTTGGCTCCCAGCATGCACGCTTTATGGGCACGCTCTAAGACTTGTTTCCTGTTTTAGTGCATTTCTGTGGTCGTGTTACAGCAACAATTACAGATGCATTATGGTTACTACAGCGTTTTAAGTTGTTTTATGTGTTTTCGTGTAGACAAGGCTTCATTCTTTTATTCAGTCATGGTACTTTAAGTAAAAGGCTTGAGCATTGTTTTATGCCATCAGGATGTTGTAAAATCCACAAAGGTTGGATGAAATTAGCACCCAGATGCTCTCAATATAAAGAAATAAAAAGGTACAAGATATCATGCATCGTTAATCAAGTTTTTGTAACAAATTTGCCAAAGTTGTGCGTTCAGGAAAAATAAATTTACAAGTAATTTCCTCATTGTCCTGATTGTGAAGCCACTCACCACAAAGCCTAAGGCAACGAGAGGCTCTCCTTCATTGAGGTGATACAGGAAGGATCCTCCATACGAGTGTCTGTCCAGGGGCCAACCCACAGAATGTTCTGTTCTGCCGGGCCTCCATTTCTTCTCATCGATCACCCACAACTAAAATACAATTGTGCAACAGACATTTTAAAGCATGAAAGTGCATTTTTCTCGAGCATAGAAGTGATTATTACTACTGCTGATACAAGTCTTATCTGAAGAGACTCGGGTAAAAAACATTTTCTCAAACAAGGTCAAGGTTTATTACATTGCATTTAGTAAAAAAAAACATTTACTTTATGCATTTTAAACATTTTATATTAGTATTTCATCAAAATACATCATTAAACTCTGAATAGTGCGTCTGCAGAGTCCTCACTCACTTGTCCTCGGCTACTACTGGATAACCGCTGTACCCAGTATTTTTATATTAATATGAACAATGTCAAGTACTTAAAGTTGTGTATGTGTGTATTTGTGTGGGGGATAGTGTTATGCACTGTAACAGAAACTAAATTCCTTGTATGTGTGCACACTCATGGCTGATAGAGCTCGGTTCTGATTCAAACTTGTTAAAGTGAAACACAAAATAACTTTAAACTTCAACAGTGTGAGCCAGCGTGTCTGCAGGAAATGTTAATTACCTCCTTAAGACCAATGGCGTACGTCTGGGGATCACAGTTCTCACGCAGGTTGAAGTGCTTATAAAGCTGCTTAGCTAAGTGGCCATGGCAGCCTTCTCCAAACAACGTGACTTTAGCATGAAGCTCCATTCCTCGCTCAAAAACATCCTGAAACAGGAAACAAGATTTATACACATGAAAGAAATGGGAATGAAAAGAAGAAAAGACATGAAAGACTGGTTTCTGGGAAAAATAAAAGATTGCTTTAATGCAAACATCAATGAATATGAAGTGCATCTTTGTCCACTTCTCATTTCTGTGACTGCTCTCAGTGAGAGGCAGCACGGTGGCTCAGTTGGTAGAGCTGCCGTCTCTCAGTGAACAGGTTGTCAGTTCAAATCCCAGCCCAGGACCTTTCTGGGTGGAGTCTGCATGTTCTCTCCGCCCTGCATGAGTTTTCTCCAGGTGCTCCAGTTTCCTCCCACAGATTAGACTGATTGGTAACTCTAAATTGTCCCGAGTGAATGGTTGTTTGTCTCTGTGTCCCTGTGATGGACTGGAGACCTGTCCAGGGTGTCCCCCGCCTCTCGCACAATGATTGCTGGACATGGTTACCAGTGACCCCCACGACCCGCAAATGAAAAAGCGGGTAAAGATGATGGATGGATGTTCTCAGTGAGACAGAGTCTGATGTAGTCTTGTGAAGTGATCCTAAGCATTTATTCTCCAGGTTTCCTGAAGCTCTTTCAAAGTTGTTCTTTGCATTTCAGCTGCTTTTCCACTCATGTTCTCTCTAATCCAAGTCCTAGACCGTTGGAGTGGCATAAAGTGAAAGATTCTTTCAACAGCTCTCTGATAATCGTTTCCTTGAAAAAAATATACAGTCAAACAATGTAATTTTTGTCATTTTGCTCTGATGCAATCTGAGAAGTGAAAGTAAACTGTCTTAGTGAAAGAAGTATATGCTCTTTGCTAAAATCTGTCTTTTGAGCAGTAATTTATCCTTTGAGTAAAAAAACTTTAAGAAGTCTCCAAAAAGCCTGAAAAACTGACTCCATTCCACATTTCCTGCAACTTTAAATAGACGAGGTGTGGCTCAAGACTTTACCAGATGTGCCATGTTGATAAAAATTAACATTTTAGACCCTTATGAATTAAACAATACAGATACCAGAAAAGACCCCCCAAAAAAGGAAGAAGCGGCAAAAGATAATGGATGGATGGATATACTTCTAACTTTGATGATTGTGCTCGTCTTTTCTTTATTTATTATTTATATGGAACTGCAGTATGCACACTAATAGGAGCATTAATGTCTGGACATTTAAACATATATGATGGGACACCTGAAAGGACCTTATGACATGAAATCATTTACCTTTGGTGAACCATCCTTGGCAATGCCGACATCATTAGTGGCAATGCCTTTTACACTTCCATCGTCATGAAATAAAACCTGAAAATAAAGCAGATAATGATTAACACCTGAGGCATGAAGGGAACAGGACATTTGAATTAAAAGTCTACTTGTCAACATCTTTTTACAATTTATATAAATAATGTAGGTCAAAACATTCCTGACGCAAGTTGCGTCTTCAACACAGTTGCCAAAGTTTTCCAGCTTCTACAGTTCTTGTTTTACTGCATTCATCATCATCCAGTCAGATCTGTTCCATCTCCAACTGGAGCTAAACGCTGATAAAACCAAAGGGATGTTGTTTTCAAACAGGAAGTTGGTGCCAGCAGTTCTTCCTCATATTTCATCCATGCATGGTCTTCCTATTGAGTTTATGGATTCTTACCAATACTTGGGAATTTTAATCGATGCACATCTCTCTTTTAAACCACATGTTGAAAACTTGATAAAGAAACTAAAATTAAAACTGGGTTTCTTTTTCAGAAATAGATCTTGTTGAACTCTGAACTCCAGGAAACGCCTTGTCGCTGCTACTTTCCTACCAACCATTGATTATGGTGACATCATTTACATGAATGCTCCTGCCAGCTCCCTGCAGATGTTGGATGCTGCAGATGTTGGATGCTGTCTATCACGGTGCACTAAGATTCATAACTGGTTGTAACTACCTGCTGCCTTCTTATACCTCCTCCCACTTGTCACGTCGTCAGTGTAGCTACAGTGTGCGCTCTCAGGACATCATTACCCGCAGTGTTCCCTCAGTGAGGACTGAACTCAAGCAAAACGGTCTTTTCTTACTCTGCTCCTGGAACACGTTGCAAAAAACCTGAAGCTGTTCACTTTGATTCCTTTAAGGCATACGTGTCAAAGTCAAGGCCCAGGGGCCAAATGTGGCCCCCGTTGACATCTTATCTGGCCCCCAAGATGGTATTTTAAATGTAAAATATTTTTATCACAATTTTTTTTTCAGTAATCTTTGATTATGATGTCAAAGGTGCAACAGAGAACATCAAATGAGACCAATGAGGAACCTGCGACCAAGAAAAGATGTTGGATGTCTAACTTGAGTTAATGTAGATTCTGAAACCGGCCCTTAGTTTGAAGAAGGTTTTAATTTTGGCCCCTTTTGTAAGTGACTCTGACACCCCTGCTTTAAGGGATTTTAAACATTTGATAATGTCAATAGAAATATAAAATCAAATATGTTCCTGTTTTAGTATTTTACCTTGTTTAATATGGCATGTTGATTTGACTGATTTTATAACTTATTTTAATTGATTTTAATTGCTTGTTTGTCGGGCAGCACGGTGGCGCAACTGGTAGAGCTGCTGCCTCTCAGCGAGCAGGTCCCTGGTTCAAACCCCGGTCCAGGGGCCTTTCTGGGTGGAGTTTGCATGTTCTCTCCGTGCATGCGTGGGTTTTCTCCGGGTACTCCGGTTTCCTCCCACAGACCAAAAACATGCATGTTAGGCTGATTGGTAACTCTAAATTGTCCCTAGGTGTGAGTGAGAGAGTGAATGGTTGTTTGTCTCGTTTGTCTCTATGTGTCCCTGTGATGGACTTGCGACCTGTCCAGGGTGTCCCCCGCCGCTCGCACAGTGATTGCTGGACATGGGCACCAGCGACCCCCGTGACCCAAAATGGAATAAGCGGGTAAAGAAAATGGATGGATGGATGCTTGTTTGTCTAAAACAGGTCTCTCTTGAAAAGGAGTCCTCATGACTCAATGAGACTAACAGGTATAATTAAAGGTTGAATGAATGATTACTGGCAAAGACATTCCCTGCCAATATTTGCCAGTCGTAATAAATGGAACCTGCATTTTTATTTACAGTGCAGTTTAGATGTTTACATAGTGATGCAAATATTGTTGATGCACAGAATTCATTTGAACCAAGTTTTATAATGGATTTAAGCTTGAAGTGCACAGACTCCGCTTTAATTTGAAAGTATATGGAAGCCAGCAGACAGAAGTGTTTAGAAGTTATTGTGTTTAAAAACAGTTTAATGAGCCCACTCGTTGAAAATTACTAATATAAATGAAACATGTTATTTTAAACACTTGAGAATTCTTTGAGGGGGAAATAAATAAACTATTAAACTCTAAAACTTCTCCAGGGAGTGGCTTGATCCCCTTTAGTCTTTGACAGATCTGTACTTCAAACCACCTTCAGTTTATGTGCAGGTCGTTCACTGGCTTTAGATTTTTCCTAAAAGTGAACATGTGGTCAAAAAAGTGAAGCTGTCAGTGAAGAGGGGACTTCAAAACCTCCTGGGGTGCTTTCACAGTGCACTTTGAACCTCGGTCCATCAGAAGTGTCGTCAACTTTCAAGAATTTAGTCGATTCTGACAGTAAATCCCTTCTCAGTTCATCTGGAGGCTTCTGTCAAACGATCAGAAGTCCAGTGACTGAGCTCCATGTGAAACCCGCCCTGACCCGCTCCGTCACGCTGCCTTTACGATGCTTCATGCTTTAGGTCAAAGGTCGTTCCAAACCTTCTCCGTACATTTATGCTCCTGTTCATCTTGTTTTATGGTATAAAGAAAGCTGCGCTTGCATTTTAAAATTTAAACACATCTGACCGGCATTTTGTCTTTAGGTGCATTTATAGTTAAACTATTTGAATTTGTGCTTTTATAGTAGAAAACATAAACATTTATCGTACTTAGCTGCATTGTCTATTCATCGTTTTACTTCAGAGAATTCAGCCATTGTTGTTTTTATTGTGGTCGTCAGCTCATCGGTGCATTCCTCATTTTCTCTGATTATAACAAACCGTGTTGGTTTGACTACTCTTAATGTTCCCGTCATTTCTCTTCTTTAGGTTTTATTTTTCAGCCTTAAAATATTTTTGCAGACATTCTTTAATTGTTCAAGTATCTCAGGGTTTTGTTCACGAGTGAGGGAAGAATGGAGCGTGAGATTGACGGATTGGTGATTTTAATTTATTTTAACATCTCTCTCTCCCTCCATCTCTCTCTCGCTGCTCTGGACTCACCTCGCCCGCCCCGCCCCGCTCTGATTGGCTGAAACTACGACTGTGATTACCGTCTTTCATCCGACAAAGAGAATCTGTCACGTCAACAGAGAACCTTAATCCCTCCTGCCTGACACATTTTAAGACCTTTGAGTAATGAATTTAAGAGCAAGTTACACATTTTTTAACTGATTTAAGACATTTTAAAATCTTAATTTTAGACACATGAATGTAAGCCTTTTTAAGGATGCACAGACACCCTGTGTGGACTTTTGAAAACAAATCATAAGAAAGATTTTTATAACTTTTTCTTACATTAAGATTGTTTGTGATCAAGAAAATTCAAGAAGTCTGACCTCAGCCGCAGCATAACCCGGGTAAAGCTCCACTCCGAGCTCCTCAGCCTGCTCTCCCAGCCAACGCACAAAGTTTCCCAGCCTGACGATGTAGTTCCCATGGTTCCTCATGGGCAGGCCTACACACAGCACAACGAATCATGTCACTGTGGTCGAGTCACGAACGACTACCCTGGTGTTTTATCAACTAAACTGACCACTTGTTCCAAACCCTTGAGGTTGGGTGTTCTCAGAGAAAAGACAAATACCAAAAACAAGGGGAATCTTTTCTTAGAGTCAAGGGACTTGGGTCGAGTGTGACGATAAACAAACCGTAATGTCAGCAATGCTACAGTTAAAATGCACATTTTATTATTTCAAATTCCCACTGAAGGGTAATTCAACATGTCATCTTTGATACACAATACAAAGTGTTGTTAAATATATATATATATATATATATTTATAACTTGCACTGACAACAGAACCATCACCCTTGTTGGTTTTAAACAGTTTACATTTTCTACTTGCTGAAGCCTTTTTTTGTTCTACAGTAAAAACCTCTAATGGTAACAAAACACTGACTGGCTCCAGCTAAATATTGTAAATAAACACATTTTACTGTGATATACAAAAGAAAGCTCAAATCATTTTTGTTAAAGAAGAATAATACGAGCTTTGACCTGGTAATATGGGGACAGGGATTCTGTGCTTCTCTGTTAAAATGCTGAACACATCCTCCGTCACCGGAGTTTTCAGAGGAGCCTGAGGGGAGGATAAGTAAAGAAAAATTAGCGTTTTTAAGAGATTTAAAACATTTATTCTAATTTAATGATATAATTAGAAACTAATAATATTAATTCATATTTATAAAACTAAAGTATGTTTAAGACTTCACATGCTGATAAATTATTAATCAAATGAAGGCCACTCAACATGCTGCACATGTGATCTTTAAAATGTGTCGCTGTAGTAAAAGTAAAGATGCCGACTTACACACAAAAAAAGCAACATGTTACAGAAAGGACAGACACAACAAGTAGAAGCTTAGTAACAATGTTTTCAACTTGTCGACACCAAAACCTGCGACAAGCAGAACTAAGACACTTGCCCCCCGTTCCTTCCAGTCGGGGATGAGCTCCGTGAGGGCGCTGGGCTCTAAACAGGCTCCGGACAGAATGTGTGCCCCCATCTGGGGGGCTTTCTCCACAAGGCACACCCGCAGCTCCTTCTGATGCTCGTTGGCTAGCTGTTTAAGACGAATGGCAGCCGAAAGGCCAGCAGGGCCTCCACCAACTATCACCACGTCTGCCTCATCAGCAAACCGCTCCATTTCGATCCCTACGAGAAAAAGATTAAACACAAACACAGGGAATATTACGAAAAACTTATTAAAAAGCACAAACAAGAAAAGCATTGCTTGAATAAATACAAAGTCTCACTGAGGAAAACTATCACTCCACAAATTACTGAAGGAAAGCACGCGCCCATAAATTAGAACTGACCCAGAAATTAAACTAAATGTCTTGGGGGCACGGGTTTTATGAGAAAAAATAAACTTTTATTTTGACAAATACATCAAGCTCAGTTTTACAGCTGTAACATATTCCTTCCCTTTGCCTCAGTGTAACAGACTGCATCAACGATCACACTTAAATAAATAAAAATAAAGACGGGAGGGATTCGCTCTTCAGCCACTAATAAATGATCACTGATCAGAATTTTAAAAAGGTGAACGCAGACCACTCACGACATAAAAAGACAATATCTTTTTCCAGTTGCACCTGTAGTGTAAAAGTACTGGTTCCAAGAATATTTCAAGTGAATATTACATTATCAATGTCAATTTATTTCTATAGCACAGAAAAACAACAAAAGCTGACCAAAGTGCTTTACAATTAAGTCAAATGAAAAAGTAAAAAATACATCTTGTGCCACTCAAAAAACAAAGTTAACAATAAAATACAACAAAAAAAATCAGCTCCAACTTGTTCTCAGACTCTGCATGGACCAAACACCAAGGAAAAAGTTGAGTCTTGAGCAAAGATTTAAAAGTCTCAGTGGTCTTTAAATGATCAGATAAACTGTTCCACAGTTCAGGAGCAGCAGCTGAAAAAAGCCCCATCACCTCTGGACTCCAGTTTGGATCTGGGGACTTCTAAGAGGAACTGGTAGTTAGACCAGAGTGCTCTTACTGGAGTGTGGATGTTAATAAGATCACATAAATAAGACGGGGCCAGACCTTTAAAGACTTTAAAAAAGCAATAAAGTCTTAGAATCAATCCAGCAGTGGACAGAAGTTATGTGTTCGTGTTGTTTAGTTGCTGTTCAAAGACGAGCTGCTGGTTCTGGATGGTTTGTAAGAGATGCAGAGATGATCTATCTAAACCAACATACAATGAAATGTAACTTTAATTTGAAGTCACCGGCTCGAACTGTTCAAAGGCAGCTGAGGAAGGAGGAAGGAAGGAGGGGTCTGTGTAAAATTGTGTTGAGGGTCTCAGAGCAGAGATTTGATTTATTAAAAAAAACTTTTAAAAAACTGTTCACACAGTGGAGGAGACTCAGCAACATGACCAGCATCTGAAGGATTCACAGCAGAGGTAAAAACATTAAAAGAACCTGAGGTCTGTGAGTGTTGTTTGAAACCACGTTAGATAAAAAAGCAGCTTCAACAGCTCTCTGATAATTTGATAAGTTGTCTTTAAAGATGTCCAGAGAAACCTGCAGTCTGTCCTCGCTCTTTCCTCTCAGCTCGTCTGCACTGACGTCTGAGCGCGCGGGTGGATTCGCTCAGCCACGGCGGACAGGACTTCCTCTTTTTGATCTTCAGAGGAGCAACAGAGTTCAGAATGTCAGAACACGTGGAACTAAAAAGATCTGTTAACTCGTCCACGTTGGACACAGAGCAGAACTGAGGGTTGCAGGAGACAGAGTCATTAAAGCCGGTGCAGATGCGCAGCGCGGTGTTTGAATTAACTGCATGTGCAGAACGCACAGATGGTCCAGTCCGGTCCTTCCTACCAGAGACCACCGCAGTGAACAGAACCGGTCGGATGAGAATTCCACAGATTTACGCAGTTGTCCCATAAGACAGCACAAGATCCAGTGTGTGTCCTTTTTCACGAGTAGCACCAGTGACGGACTGCGTGAGATGAAAAGAGTCAATAACGTTCATGAACTCTTTGACCAGAGGTCCATCCTCACAGTGGACATGGATGTTAAAATCACCAACTATTAAAAGACGGTCATATCGTAGCATAAGTCCCGTCATAAAATCGTTAATAAAATCCTTGCAGTATTTAGGTGTCCGGTAGACTGTGACACAGAGCAAGAGGAGATAAGTTTATCTCCACCATCTGAATTATCTAAAGGACATTTAATATTGTGGAATCTAAAAGAGTCATAGCCATCGATGGTTAAGAAGGTTTCATTTTGTTTACTCAATCATAAGGTCACTTTATCTGGCTTCTTCTGATGTCTACTACAATTAAGCAGAAAAACCTTATGGGGAATGCTTGATACAATGAAGAGGCAAATGTAATAAAACTGTTACTAAAACAAAACATCAGGCTGTTTCTAATTAAAAAACACAGTCACCTAGCAGTACAGCAAGGGGCTGCAGACTGGTCAGGTTAGTGGTAAGAGCCCACAAACACCAGTGGTTTGAGGACCCGAGTTTAAGATGTGACGAGTTCTTCAGACTTACAACCGAGCATTTGGGGGATTTGGTGGACAAGTAAACCAGTAAAGAAAAACAAGTATACCAGATACACGATGAGCCAACGCCACATTTTTAACTGCTCTGTTTTGCTTGGTCCCAGATAACTCTGCAAAGTTTTAAAAGTCTGTAAGAGTTTGCAGCTTGTTGAGTCACAAGTGTTTGCAGAATGTGTGAAAGTTTTAGTAGGTTAGATTTAACACTTTTAAGACCTTTAAAGAACATTATGGTTCACATTTAAGACATGCATGCATTACAAAAAGGTCATTGTAAAATTTATTTAAAGCATACGAAGGTTTTTCATTCAAATTCAAAACAAATCGTTCAAAAAAACTAAAATCAAAACAACAAAATTCAGAAGAGCAACCTCAGTTTTTGTGAGGAAAGCTGAACGTCAGTCTAACTCCTGACAGGGCTGCTGTTTGATGGGACTTTTATTTATGTTATAGAATAACATCTGGATTCCTCAGAATGGAACAAAATGAACCAATGAATGAATGCTGACAGCATAAAAAACCTTGGACATATTTAAGACTTTTTAAAACCTAAACTTGAGATTATTAAATTGAGGACTTTTTATGCACTTTTTAAATCTCTGGTTTAGCAGCAAAAAGCAGTCACCTAATATTAAATGTTAATGTTATGACTGAACAGTGTATTTTCACAAGTTTTTCAGTTGTCAGATTTATCCAAGTATCTTTGTAGCTACTGCTTTCTCAATACGGCACCTACACTGACTGGTGAAAACCATTTGAAAACGTTAAATAAAATCCTCCCCATTTGTGCTATCGCTGAATTTACAGTTTTACTTAGTTCAATGTTTCCCCTACCATTATCCAATGAGGGCGTCTCGCCCTGTCAGCAGAACCGAGCGACCCGCCTATAAAAACGCAGAACACCAGCTGATGTGGTGACCAACCCTTGTCACAAAGCAGCTCAAAGTACAAAAACGTCAGTTAGATTGGAGGAAGATGTTTCACTCACCAAAACCTAAACAGAAGAAAAGATTTGATCATAAATCTGACTCTCTTTGTAACAATAAAGTCAATCATACCTTCCCATCTTGGATCTTTGTCTCGAGGATGGATGGTGTAGTGTGTGGTGATGCGGGGTGTCGACACTGAAGAGCATGTCCTCCTGTGGACAAACAGCTGAGGGGCAGCATGCTCCACCTGTAGTGTTGTCAAAGCCCTGATACACCTGTGCGCTGAAAGACGGACAGACCCCAGGTAGGACCAGTTCTATTAGGACTTCGACCAAACTGGGTCTAAATGATACTTTAAAATCTCCACTGAGCAATAAATATAACAGCTGAGCTTGATCATGGTAAACAAATCACATGTGACAAAAGAGGAATAAAAAGCAGCAAAGCTGCACAAGAACAAGCTAAACAGTTGCAGCAAACATTAGCTAACCTTTCTGACCCTAACTTTAAAAATATATAAAAATAACTTTAATAACAATGAAAATCCAAAGGAAATGTGAGGGAAATTGAGAAAAACCCGTGGTTTGATTCACAGATATAAGTTATAGAGTATTTCCAGGAGCATACAGACCTGATTCAACTTTCACCTACATTAGCTGTACGCTAGTTAGCATGCTACCGCTACATGGCTTAGCATTTGTATAAAACCATTGAAAAACAAGTCACAACAAATCACTTGAAGTCTTCTAAAACACTGAAGTGATCATTGAAGTCAGCACTGCTGGTCAAAAGAGGTAGTAGCCAAGTCTGTCCCTAGAACTGAAGGCTAAGTGTCAGCTAGCCTGTTAGCAGCCTCACCTTTACAGTATCTGCTGGCTGGAAACATCCTCTGTCCGCTGCAGCAAACTCCTCCGGAGAACAGCGGCTCCTTCTCTTAACGTCAGCCGAACAACTCCTCCGGAGAACAGCGGCTCCTTCTCAACGTCAGCCGAACAACAGCTGCTGTGCACTCACTTCGTCGCCTGTTCAAAGGTTGCAAACCTAACCCACCGCGACTACTGCACAACGATTCTAAACACAAACACGAAGCGTGAGCCTGGATCCACTGCGCATGCGCACGTTTGTGTGCGTACTTCACAGCCTTCGTTAAAAATGGGAGAAGTCAGAGATTTTTTTGAATGGTGTTGCCTTCAATGTCTAGTGTTAATAGATTGCGGTGTGGAAGGTTTATTTTTATTTATTTTTTTTATTTTTTTTTTGGCATAAATGTAGTGTAAGCTACACAGATGTCTTAAGTTTATTTTTTATAACAATATTATGTATTTTTAAACTCACTGTTTTATATATCCTGATGCATGCTCAATAATCCAGGTAAAAAAAATCTAAAAAAGTTAAATCTGGTCCTCTGGACATTCAAAAAACAAAAAGCAAAACAACAAAGATTTAGAAATGTTTCGTCTTTCATCTGAAAGACTTCCTCTCATCATGTCATTGTTTTATGTTCATTGTTCAATGCAGACATGTTCCTGTTTTTAGTTTTATACATTTGTCTTGGAATCTAGCTGTTTTTTTTTTTTTGTTTTGTTACCTTTTTCCTTTTAGCCATCCTATTTGTTAAAAAAAAAAAAAAAAAAAAAAAAAACTAGTATGAGTTTTTATAACTGCTTATTGTTGTTGTTGTTGTCCATTGTTGTCATCTTTCTTTGTTGAAATCAGGTCTCTCTTGTAAATGAGTCCTCGAGGCTCAATGGGATTTACCTGTAGAAATAAAGGTTGATTGATTAAACTTTTAAGAAGCCAGAGTTTCATAATGATATGAAGTGGTCTTACTCAATATTTATCCAGGATTTCTGGATTTTAGACTTTATCTAAAAATAAAAAAATAAAAATCAGATTCTGGACTGTTCTTGTACTTGACAGTACTATCTTGTGTGTGTTTTTTTTTTTTGGCTGTTTCCTTCTTCAGGGGTCACCACAGAGAACTGAGTCGCACGAAGACTTGGCAATAATTTTTACACCCGATGCTCTTCCTGACACAACCACAGGCCATCGAGCTACCACAGCCCTCTGTGTGGAGCAGAGAGCTAGGGCGCCCGGGGAGCAGATGATGGGGTTAAGGACCTTGCTCAAGGGCCCAGGGTGGGGCACATGAGGGTGAAGGCAGGTGTGAGTGCTTCACCACCCACATTTTGATGTTGTCGGTACCGGGAGTCGAACCAGCAATCTTCCGATCACAGTCCCACCTTCTCTAACCTCTGCGCCACCTATATTGTGTAGCTTGCCTAAAACTGAAGAACAAAAAGAACCCTCAAGAGCACAGCAGATTAGGACAAGATGTCTTGTGTAACAGGCTGCTTATTGAAAACTGTTTTAGTCAGGTTTTCATTTATGTGTAAAAAACGCTGGTTGTTTGAAACTTGTCACAGACGAGCCATGCTGTAGATCAGAGTTGGGTAGTTTAATACCAGTTGGTTCAATACCAGTTACGGTAAGAACTAAAAACAAGAACAAAAACAACTTTGAAAGACTCTCATAAAGTTTGTATTCTTTGAAACAAAGCACAAGATCGGATGAATCAAGAAGCCACATTCTTATTGAAATGATCTGCTACAGCAACTTCATTTATTAAATCATACATTTTCTTAAAAAAAAAAAAAAAATCCCACTGAATGTAATCTGTATGAAATAACATTTTGCTGTAAGTGCCCAGCTCAGCAGCCTCTATAAACCCGGTTCAGTTTGAAGTACAGTACCCACAAACATTCCTTTAGTGATGGGAAAGTTTTGTTAGTAACAGAAAAAGTCAAAAACATTGAAAAAGTCCAGATATTGACAGATGTTATGGCTTTAGGGAAACTCTCAGGAAATATTCATTAGATCTACGTCCAGTACTGATTAATATTTGGAGTCAATGACCGTCCCAGCTAACTGACCTTGAAAATAAGAAATTACATTTTACAGATATGGACCTAAACTTTGGTGTAGTTAAAGCTGAGACTGATTTTCAGCACTGACTTTTCACATATTGCTCAAGATCTTTGTTCAGACTGTTAATAACTGTTTAAAGCTACCTCTGTCTGATCATGAACCCCATTTAATGAAATAAACAAATCAATGGACGTGCATTTAATTAACTTGTGAACTCAAAGTGGCAATCAAAGTTAATCAGTCTTAGCCAAAACAAAAATGTCACTAACGATCAGTTTTATGGCAAAAACTTGAAGCGGTAGTTTCTGAGAGTCGTTGACAACACACATTCTGAGCATGAAAGCTCACAATATTACACGAGAACACACTAACATCATTTCCAAAGTTTCACCAAATCATTTACAAAAGATCTCAGTTTCAAACTGTGGAATGTCAGATTCTCATCAGTTTTTTCAAATGATTTCAAAGAAGTTATTTAGACTAAATCAGTTGTTTTTTACATCCTTTAGAATAAATGATTTCCTGTCCAAAGCCAGAGTTTATGAAGTGAAGTTTCTGGAGCGGTGCGGCTCAGTACCGAGGCTCGGCAACATCTGTGTTCTGATCATCTCCAGAGAACTCCCAGAACAGAACCAAAACTGAGGAATAATGGGGCGCACTTTTATCTGTAAAACACTGCTCTATTTTTAAATTTACTTTAATTTTTCTTGTTCACGTCTGTAGTGTTAGCAAAATATTCTATGAACCGGTGGATAAAGTTGATGAAAACTCTCCAACCAGTCCGTGAGTTGTGCAGAAACATCTACAACCGACTTTTATCATCCTCAGTATGTTTTTAACAAAGATTTGTTAAAGTTTGATCTGTGTGACGTGGCTAAACGAACGAAAGATAAAATATGTTGCTGCCACTCAAACAATCGTCACATTCAAATGAAAACACAACTTAATAACTTACAAGAAAATAAACACTGCACCTAAATTTAGCTCAATATCTGCAAAGTGCACAGATTTTAACTAAGTCTGTGCAGATTAACGTTGATTAAATGTGGAGGACGTCTTGAGTTGGGTTGAGTTTTTTTAAATAAAGACTGCAGAGAGATGTCCATGATTAGTTTTTATTGATCAGCACTGATGACTGTACAAATATCTTTATGGTACATCAGAGTATAAAAAATGTGAAGATGGAGCGGACTCCGTTCAAACCTCCCAGACCAGCTGGACGATTTCTGGACATGATTTAATAAAACTTTATTATTTTATGTTTCTGTCTGTGCTACTTCATCTGGCTCAAAAGGTTTTAACCAAATTAAATACATTTTTTGCTCAACGTATGGAGTTTATCTGATTTAATACATTCAACGCAGCACTTTCTGTGACAGCGGAGAGAACGCAGCTTTTTATAGACAAAAGACAAAAAAGCTGAATAAATGCTTTGTGCTCTCAGGCTGGAAAGACCCTCGACTTTCAGAACCTTGATGTAAAAATGCTGTAGCTCTTTGTTGCAAGGAAAATACTGCCATTATCAATAAATATAACCTTTATTTATAACCTTTATGTGAGAAAATCTGGTGCCTAAATAATTATCTTACGTACAGGAAAAACAAAAGCTAATTAATTCTACTGAAATACAACAACCAGTATCAATCTGCCGTTTGTGCAGCCTTAAAATAGAAATTTATTTTTAGCTAACATCGTGTTCTTTCACAGCAGTTTGGCATTTTGAGAAAATGCTGTTTTATAAACCAAAACAAACAAACAAACAAACAAGCTCTTATAGTCATACGCCTCATCTGGGTGAGGACAGTTGCGTTTTTCCTCATCTTGTACTTTGACTGAGGTCAGAGCTGATAAAGTTTTAAAGTTATTAACAGTTTAACAGAAGAATCAGTGCCAAGATGACTGAACTATCCCTTTAAGGCCACAGCCACCGAGAAGCCTGACAAACTTTAAAGTTGGAGGAACAAACGATGCTCATAATAATAATAATAATAATAATAATATTTATGGACACAAACATAAAATATGTGACGAATGTGTCCAAACAGAAGACATCCATTGAACAGTCACTTTAAATAAAAACATCTTACAAGTAATATGTAAAAAATACGTAGAACATTTTCCAAAACAGACTTTAAGGAAAACAAAAAGCAGCCATTTTGAAATTAATTACGTAAGATTTTTTCTTTCAATGCCACAAACAACATTTTAAGTCCACGTCTATCCGTCAGCTGCTGCTTCGACTGTTTGTCCCAGATATGAGTGTAAACAAACAGCAGCCGAAGAAGACGAGCTGTTGTTGCCTCAGAGCCACAGACAGGAAACACACGAACATTACAATTATTTGATTCTACCCTTGGCAGAAACAAGTCGCTAACATTTGTGTAAAAGCTTCCTGACAGAACCAAGAGAACAAGAAAAACAAAAATACAGAAAACACTGACAACGTGCACAGATCCAAGTGCGTCAAGGTTCACAACACCCCTCATGAGTGAACGGCACGCCCCGCCAAAGGGGGCAACAACACGAGACTCGACTTAAAACATGTCCGGATTACACAGAAATGTGACGTGAAGTTCTGGGAAGCTGTGAAAGATGTGGAGCTCATTCCTTTTTAATTGGGTTTATTAAAGTTCAACGAGTTGTGTTGGTGAATAATCTAGATGTTGTGCGTTTGGCGTTTCATATAACTACCATCAATATACAAATATTATAATGAAGAGAGTTTACATTATTTTGTCATGTCTCTGGTTCAGTGTCTGTGTAGACCAGGGCTCTTCATCTAAACTGCTCCGGGGCCACAGGCACCGAGAGCAGCAGCTCAGGGGCCGGACAGCAACTAATGAACCAAGTCTTACAACCATCTGCTACTTTTTAATGTTTTTATGAATCTTAAACGCAATAAACAGAACCCAAAACCCAAACCTGGCTAGAAAAATAAAAATTAATTGAGTATTATTTTTATTTAATGAACTCATGTCGGACTGAAGTCGCCCGTGGGCCGGAAGTGGCCCATGAGCCACCAGTTGAATAGCCCTGATATAAACCGATGTATGAAAAGGTTTTCATGTAGAAAATGGGTCATCAAGTCAAATATTGCCGTCATGTTCAAATTATAATAAAATCTATCCCGTGTGTGTGTCCAGATGTTTTACGGTCGAGAGATGTTGCTTCATTAAACGTCTCCAAGAATCACCGACGTCATAAAAACATAAAATGACCAAATTAATTGTTTGGAACAAATTTTGTTGTTGCAAAAAACAAGTTTTAGCAAAGCTACAAACAAATACTGTAAACCCAAAGAAGGAAAATGTAACTATGACACGGCCAGCAGATAAAGGTTGGAACGAAGCTGCTGTTGTGGCTCTGTGATTCTGTTTGACCTCTACTGGTGACCTTCATGAAGCTAAAAGGCTGAGGGAGCAGGAAAATCATCGCCACAAAAGGAATTTCCAGCCAAGTCTCCGTGAACGTATCAGGAAATGCCTCATCTCATAAGAATTCAGTGCGTCAGAACAACAAAATGACGGTTCCTCCAAGCCCGATTTAATCTGTGTCGGTGCAAAAGTAAATTGCTTTGTCATAAAAGCACACGATAAAACAAAAAACAGTTTCTACTGTGATTTAACTTGTTTCTTCAGCTCATCGTTGCACTGCCTCCTGGAAATTTTCCTTTAACAAACTTCAGCCTTTAAATCAGGGAGCTGCAACTTCTTCAGTTTTGAAAATATTCTGCCAGTTCTTTTACTGAATGAAACTTGTTGAGCCACAACGTGCGCTTGAAATAAAAACAACCCATTAAAACCGTATTAGTTTTAAAGTACGTCGTTTTTCAGTGAGTGAGATCAGAATTTTTTTTGCTTCCAACAACATTCTGACTCGACGCTCTCAGGATTTTTGTACAAAACGTGTTTGAAGACAACAGATGTTCTTCACCTTTCTTTACAATAAGGTTCAGAATATTTCAGCACGGCTCATTTTCTCCAACGTTTATTTTAATGCGCTCTAACGTTCGTTTATTCCACTCAAAACCGTTCTGTCGCCTGTCCCTAAAGCTTTTAGTCCTTTCATTTTCAGACAAAGAGAAAACGACTTTATTGTTTCACTTTTGTGTCTCTGATCGTTTTGATCTCTCTCTGACTCTGTTAACACCAGGGGATTATTTTACTGACAGTATCCATCCATCCATCCATCCATCCATCCATCCATCCATCCATCCATC